CTGTTCACGTAATTCCATAAAGCAGTCCTTAACAGAGCTATGCCCTCTAAAGCTTATTGCCTCTAATGGACTTAGAAGGGTATAACTCTGCTTAGGACTTGGGACAGAAAGATCGGTAATAATTACAAATGCACTAGAGCAAGTTACGTAGTGCCACTTTTTGTTGCTCTTGGAATGCCGGAAATCAACAAGATCTATTTTATAAACCTGAATGTACACAGTAATGGCAACACAGTGCTGTAGTTAAATGTATCTGGAAGAAAGAAAAAACAGAGGGGCTGTAGCTGTATGAGAACCTCTACTCTGTGGCTTGATCCCCTCATGGCTTAAGGATGTGTACGGGTGATACAAACTAGTACATGGGGGGGGGGACCGCTTGTATCTTTCCCTCACAACAGGCAATCTATGTAGTTGGTCCCACTCCTGTGGTTGAATTGTTCACATGCAGCTCCCAGCTATCTGAGACTGCACTGCAGACAAGCTGTGTGCTGGGAGGGGGGCTAGGAAGGCCGTGTACATTCTGGTTCAAATCTCACCTAAGCCTTAAGCTTACTTGGTGGCCATAGGCAAGCCTCTGTCTCTCAATCTAAGTACCCCATCTCCGTAATAACGCTGCCCTACTTTTGAGGTTTATTGTAAGGATTATTGAGATAATGTATGTGAAGTGCTCTGAACACTTGAAATGTGCTGGATAAATGCTGAGCATTAATCTTATTATTTGAATGTGAGGGGTTTAATACCCTTTGGGAACTCATTGGAAAAATTTAAAATTAATGAGTTGGGGTGTTTTCTGCTTACAGGTTCTTTTCTGTTTACAGAAAGAAAACTGTAAGTGGAAATCAGCTATAATTGGAGTCATTGTTTACTAACTGTGCTGGTGACAATGTGCTGGTGACAGTGCCCAATGGGGACAACGTTGTGGAGCCGCTTCTGTAGCCTGTTCACATGGGACAGTGTACTCATGCACAGACTAAAGATACATGTAAGAAAGAGTCAACATATGTTCCCTTTACAAATGAAACCAGGGGTTATATGTAACTTACACTTAATATCAACATTACACATATAAAGACAAATATACTCAATACACATATAAAGAAAAAGAAAAATCAAGGGTAAACTGTATGCACATTGTATGTGCATTTACTGTAGCACAAACAGGTATAGGCAGGATGTATGTGCATTCCCTGTAATGTGCAAACAGGGCTTCTGTGCATTGACGTGGGAATGAAACAGAATGGAAATTTTCCCCAATAGCAAATATCAGTTGGCTGTTTGGGGTTGTTTTATACGCCAAGTGCTTTTCTGTTTACAGCAAGACAACTGTAAGGGGGTTGTAAGGGAGTATCTTCACTTCAGGGGTTGTTTACTAATATAAAGATGACAGAGTCCTTGATGGACAGAGTGGCAGAGCTGTGCATCCTGCCCCCTCCCCAAATACAGCTGGGGTGTCTCTGATTATTTAATGGTGGAATGACTGGCACAAATAAATATGTTTAGGACTGAAGTACAGAACGCTAACAAAGTGTACACTTTAATCAAACTTACTTTTGCAAGGGCATGATTCAAAGAGCAGTAGCTGCATGAAATTTATGCACAAAGCCTTTCTGTGGGAAACAGTTTCTGTACTGTCAAGGCATAATTCAAGAGGAGGTTTGTGTAGGTGGACTGCAGTGAGGTATGTTTCCAAATTTTCCCGTCATCCAGATTTTGGAGCTCCAATGCCATAGTTTTGTTTCCAAAGTGAAAATGATGCATTAATGACCTTGCATTGTTCCATTTTTTATTTCTGAACTGTTATGTGCATGTGCAGTTGGCTACAGCTCTCACTTCATTCATCACTTCCCCTACATTCCGCATTAGTGATTCTCATGTTCCCATTGATACAACATTGTAAAAAAGCAGTCTTGATGTAATTATTCGTATAATTATTCGTATAATATCTGAGTATGTATTTTTGCTTGATGTTATAATTAGGTAGCAGCCTGAATAGCCCTGACTAGCCCAGTCTCCTCAGAGCTGGGAAGCTCAGTAGGGTTGCCTGCAGTTAACACTTGGGTGGGAGGCCACCAAGGACATCCAAGGTTGCCACGTAGAGGGAAGCAATGGCAAACCATCTCTGTTCATCTCTTGCTTTGAAAACCCCATACTTCCTGGGTCACCATGAGTCAGATCCGACATGATGGCACACAGTGCTTCACAAGACACACGCACACATCAGGAAAACACAACATGGACTCCTGATGTGATCGTACATAATACTTTTTGTAGTGTTTTTTCAATGCAAATTTGTATACCAGTAATATAGAAGGGGGAAATACATAGGAATTAAAGCCCCCCCCCCGGTGCATTAAATTGTGGATTCTCCAGTTCCAGAATTAAGTTTAGAGATTAAACCAGAATGAAAAAGAAGTGGAATTTACAGATCAAATTCTTGGAACAATAAAGGAACAGAACAAAGGAAATCTGATCATCCTTAACTGCAGGCTAGAGAAATACTGAAGTTATGCCCCAAAAATGCATACTGATAACCAATGCTCCCTCTAAGCTGTGGGGTCTTGTGAGAAAAAATTCTACTTTGTGAGCTGCTGGCATTAAGGTTGTGAGCGACTGGTTTGGCTACTGCATAAATCAGTTTGCTCTGGAGCCGTCCTTCCTGAGCTAAGACAAAAATGTGTGAGCCGGAGGCTAAAAAACTGTGAGCTAGCTCACACTAACCCAGCTTAGAGGGAACACTGCTGATAACACTTCCTTTTAATCATGAATAACATTTGCCTTGACTTCCATCACTGAGTGCTTATTTCTAAGGAAGGTGTGCCCTTTCAAGGGTTGTCTAACCAAAGATCGAGACTTCCAGATTAACATAGTATAGCCTGAGATCCTTGGTCTGAAGCAAAACAGACCTCTTCTGAATCAAATGGCCTTGAACAGTTTGTATTTGCTACTCCTGCTGTTGCAGCCCTTTACACACGTCTGTTTCTTGGGTTTGGAGTGGGGACCCAGGCCATCTAATACTGTGGCTAAGGCATACAAGAATGTTGTTATTACACCCTTGTTTTGCTTCTTAGTAACTATGGGCTATGGTAGGGAGTTAGGCTACAGAGTGAGGGTTCAAATCCCATCTTCAATCTTTTTTTTTTGTATTGTGAATGTGTGTGTGTGTGTGTGTGTCCACGCGTGCGCGCGCAGGCACCTGGACGTCATGCCACCCTGGTGACCCCTCCTGGGGCCTGGAGGATATTCAGAGGGGTGGCTGAATAAAGCCTGCCCCCACCCCCTGCCTCTTGTTTTCCAAGGAGGTCTCCCATCCAAGTACTTGCCAGAGTCGACCCTGCTTGGCTTTCGAGATCTGACAAGATTGGGCTTGCCGGGATTATCCAGGTCAGGGCCCATCTTCAGTCTCAACATTCATAATTCTATATAGCACTTATGTCTATGGATCAGTATGCCGCCCACAGAACATTAGAGACAGAGGTAATTAAATTGGGAGAGAAAGACCACTCCAGTGCAAAACCAGGACATTTGTCCATACTTTGACTGTAACACACTGTTTTACTTCTTTATGTCTTCTATATATATTTTAAAATAAAAAAACAGCAGGAGGTAGGCAATAACTCCTTTAGGAAATGCCAAGTGAGTATGGAGAGCATGGGTTATAATTGGACATTGTTTATTTGGAGCATTTTGGTAAAGTGTTATGACAACAGAGAGAGTATTGAGAGATTCTGTTGAATTTTTACCTGATTAGCCTTTTCCTACAGATATAAAGATAATGAAGTTTCTGTTATTAAGTAGCCTCTTAAATGAGCCACATAATGACAGAGCTCTTAAAAAGGTAGCAGCGCATGTGATCAAACCGGTTATTCTGTGCTACCTTTTACGAGTGGGTATAATTGCTTTTCCTACTGCTTGGAGTTGCGTGGGTAATATCTCTCTTCTTGATACTTTGATATTCTTCCAGGATTTAATTTAGGCCTATTACAATGTCTATTACCGCCTCTGGATGTTTTAAAAAAGAGTAGGTCTAGCTTTTTTCATTGTTGAGACATAAAGACTATGTGTAACTTTCCCCTTATATTTTCACAAAGGCTAAATACTTACTTTTAAAAAAAAAGAATTCAAGGGAGACAGTAGATTGTGGAAGTAAATCTTTGTAACATGATAGGCCTGTGGCTAATCCAGCAGCTGCTGGGTTTTTTTAAAAAAGCAGTGAGGGGAAGGAATAGTGGTTGGGGGAGGGGGCTGGGGCAAGGAAGATGGAGCAAATTTGAGTACGTGTAGGACCTTCAAAAATGTGCACCTTCCCATTTGTGCAGGGTGCAACAGTGCTTCGAGAGCAATCTTTCCAGAAAGATCATATAAAATCAGGTTTGGGAAACCAGACAGTGGACAGCTCGTGGATGGTATATTGTAGGTGCCCCCCAAAGCCAGGCTGGAGTTTGGATGCCAAAGTGGACCAAAACCTCCTTACGAAAGCAACCTCTGTCTCGCTTTCCCATCTATAAAATACACCATTAATCTGCCTCACAGGGCTAAAGGAAAAATGAAATATGTACATCTCCAAACCTATAAATCACATTTATATTGAGGACTGTAGGTGGATGTTTATTGTCTACTGCTACTAATAACCGTTTCCGAAACAAGTGGTGCTCAGGGTCAAGTACTCTCCCAATCTGCCCTGAAAGTTCTTCTCTTTATTTCCTGATCTGTGAGAACTGCTTTTGCTCCCCTGATACGAAAAGAAACTCATTCTGCCCATTTTCCATTGTCAGCAATTGCTTCTCTAGGACTGAGGCTAAATCCTCAAACGCCAAGCACAACTACCTACATTGATAGTGAAATACTGTGCCAAGTTACGTCAGTGTGAGCCCACTGACATCAAAGCAAAACACAGACAAAAAGTTCTGGAACAGAGCAGTGGGACAGATTAAACGCTGCTGAAAATGTCGCATGAATACTGAAATTCAGGCTTAACCATTCGCATTCTCTCTTTTTACCAGATGCTTATCCCAATTCCGAAGTGATCTACGTGTGGACTAACAACTCGGATACATCTGTGGTGGTTGCAGAAGATGGTTCGAGGCTTAACCAGTATCACTTGATAGGACATATTGCAGGAACTGAAAACATTAGTACCAGTACCGGTGAGGAATATAGTTCTCTGTCCATCCCGTCCCCCCCCCCCGGCTTATAGTAGGCAATGAGAAAAAAATTCGGGATCATTTCTTAGAAATGAAGATGTATTGAACATTTTGGGCCAGATCCAGAGATTTGCTCGTGAAAGAATTGTCATCTTCCCTGCTTTCCCATCCCCCTATCAGTCTGTTCCACCACCAGGAGAATTGATTCCTGAGGTTGCAAGACCCATGTGGGGTGCAGGGAGGAAGGGGAATAAAATCATTCCCTCCTCCCTCTTCAGACAGCCAAGTCCTGGCAATAGAAGATACAGAAAGAGCAGTTTAGCCCCCTCCCTCCTTCTCTGCCGCATGGCTGTTGAATCCATACAGATCCTGCAAGCCCCAGAGCATCAGTTCTGGGAGTCAGAAGGAATTCCCGGGGAGAGGGGAAAGTGGGGAACCATAACCGGGTCACAGGGCCCAAACCATTGTCCAGTTCATCATTCTTTCCTGGTTCCTCTTTTTGTATTTCTAGAAAGGGGTGGCTTTAAAAGCCTGGTTAGATCAGGCCAAAAGAAGCACACGCTTCCAGCGTCCTGTTTCTCACAGTGGTCAATCAGAATGCCTGCAGGAAGCCCAGAAGCACAAAATGAAGGCAACAAGCCTTCCCCAGCCTCAGCAGATGACCTGCAGCTGAGCAGATCCCACTGAAAAACATTGCACTGCAGAAAGCTTACATGGAAGGTTTGTTCAGTGGTGTTTGACCTACGATGGCTTATTTTTACATCTGCGAGACAATGCTCGATGCTGCCTCACGGAAACAATGATTCCGCCAACAAGCCCCAGCTAACTGTGGGATCAGGTAGAGGTAGGCCCAGCACATTCACTGATGGAGCCAGCCGTGTAACAGAGGCACGACCCTCCTTTCTTCCGACCAGGCACCCAAAAGAACACATAGCCCAGGTGCTGTGAGTGGGGTCCAGTGGTTTAATTCAAGCAGTGTTTGTCACTGGAAAGAAAAAAGGGGGAAGATGGCCATCAAAGAGCCCAGCCCCTGCACAGAGAACCTTTAAGGTTCATGAGAAAGAGGCTTACCCAGAGTAGCGGCAGAGTGGCTGAATTTCAGCCTGTTGTGCAGGTGTTCCAGGACCTGGATTCCTGGGGGGGGGGGTAGCAATCTAACTACCTACGCTTGAGACAGGGCCTGGGGAAAAAGTACTGCCCCTTTCCCTGGTTCTTAAGAGGAACTGGGAACAAGTCATGCTGGCTCCCACGTTTGTAGAATCTGCTTTCCTCCAGCGGGGAGGCAAAGAACCGCCTACGCGTTTGATGAGAGCTTTAAAATGATTTGTTTGATGAAAGCATTTGGGACCATGGAGGGGAGAGGAGAAGGGAAGGTGGCAGCTGTCGCTCAGCTTTGCAGTGCGTGTGTGTGTGGGAGGTGGGTGGGATGGAGAACCACGTCGCTGGAAAGGAGGTGCTAACCCTAAGGATTCCCCTTTCCTCCGTAACCGGCAGTGGAGGCGCCAGATGTGACAGCATTAGGGGACCAAAGAAGCTTTAATCCCAGCCCAGCCACCCACGTGAACCCCCTCCTGGTTAAGGCTTCGGTGTCAGGTCAGCTTTGTGCTGTGATGGGGGGGGTGTATGGGAGAAGCAGGGGAGGGTGGGGAAAATGGGACTGGCTCGGGCTGAAGAGTCACGTGGTGCTGCAGAGAGAGGCTTCAACAGGTTACATAATACACTTTCCTTGATGCTGCTGCAAAGACGCCGAATCAGAGGTCTGCAGTAATTAGAAACTGAGCATCTCGCCTGGGAAAAAAAGGTAGCATCACACTGTGCCTTCGGCATGGGAATGCTGATATGGAGAAAGCCGCCAGAGAAAAGCCTGTGCTTATTTTCGGTTTGTGGCAGATGCTCCCAGCTACAAACAGCAGGCTCCCTGACTAATTTGTGAGGATAGGGAGAAAGGGTGTAAATGGCCTCTTATTATATCAATAGATGGGATATTTACGTGATTTTAATAGACACAGGTGCGTGCGCTCAGATACATGCACGCACACACACACTGCCCAGGAACTGAACAGATTAAAGAATACCAGTGCTTAAAGTCTTCTCTGCCAAATCAGTACAGGAACAAACAGCTCTTCTAAAGCGACAACCCCACCGACAGCTCAGCTGATTCCTTTTTAAGCCTGGACCATTGCTAAAATGCCCCCGCATGGGGGGCAACTTTACAGCACAAACCCTAAAAGTATCCTGCCTCAAAACAATCAGAGCAAAGATCACACTGAGATTTCTCTTCTCTGCAGCCATGTTTCCCCAGCAAACTCAAGAAGTCAACAGCTGCCATTTATCAGAGGGGGTGGGATGAGGGGGTGAGAATCCCACAAGCCAATCAGACTAGCAGCAAAGACCCCCGCACAGGTCAAGTAAAAGCCCACAGGTTTCCTTACCAGTTTACCATCATGGCGGCATTGTTTTCGGCAATGAACGGCAGCTCTCCCCTGGCTTGCAAGACTATCAAGAGGAAGATCCAGACGGGGTGCTGAGGCATCGCCTAGAATCGTGCCTAGGTGATGACCATCCAGAGTGAGCAGTGGGCTCTCCAGGGTGTCAGCCTCAGGCGCTTGTCCGGGGCTCAGTAGTTGACTGCGAAGGCTGCTTGCACGCCTGGTCGCAAGGAAGCACCAGACATTCGGGAGGAGTCCCAAAGTTTGTGTCCAGGAAATGCCTCTTCTGACGTTGCCTAAGATTTAAGCTAATAAAAGGCTGAATTTACAACGTCAAGATCCCCCCCCCCTTTTTTTTTTTGCTAATATCCCAGGTTACATCTGGGCAGGCTGGATTCTGATTGCCGGGTGGATCACAAAGAGCAGGACACAGATTGTAACCAGGGATTAGCAAAATGCAAAAATCCGATTTTACACAGGGAAAGCATCAGTCAGCTATGGATTTTCTGGACTTCATCAAGCTTGCAAGAGGCCTGTAATCGGGGTTTCTCATGAATGGATTTCGAAGGCATTCTTTCCTTTTACAGTTGTGGAATATTAAAATAGCAGGCATAGACCCTGAACAGTTTTCATATCATGTTTTTGCTCGTCTTGTAGTTTTGTTGTTGCTTAACCCCATGTAAGGGGATTAGATAGATTCATGGAAGATAAATTCATCAATGGCTCCTAGCCATGGGAGGGGAACCTCCACATTCAGAGGCACTAAGCCAGGAGGCCACATCAGGGGAAGGCCTCAGCCTCTGTGCCCTGTAGTTGTTGACCATCCAGAGGACCTGATTGTCCACTGTATGAGACAGGATGCTGGACAGGATGGACCATTGGTCTGATCCAGGAGGGCTCTTCTTATTTTCTTAAGTTTATCCTCACCTTCAAACAGCTAAAGAGATCTCACTAAAGCAGGTTTCCACATGCATGTCAGTTGCTGTATCACGAACCAGGTGCAGGTGATTCTTCATTCCAAAGTTCACCAGAGTGTAGGTGCTCTCCATCCAGCATGGCACAGAGGATAGAACCTGGGATATCTAGGTTCAAATCCCCGCTCTGCTATGGAAGCTCGCTGGGTGACCCTGGGCCAGCCATTCTTGCTTAGCCTAACCTACCTCACAAGGTGGTTGTTGCAAAGAGAAAATGGAGCAAGAAAGAACATTGCACTTTGGATCCCCACTGAGAAGACATCCCATGCATCCCAGGGTGTGGGTCACGTGGATGGCTGCTTCCCTATGGGATCTCCAGATTTGGGGACAACCTGCCACAGCCCTGCTGATCGAACTAGGAAATGGCCTGCACCAGCAAGATGCTGCAGACTGGGAACTGGACTCACTTTCTTCCCTCCCTCCTCCCCCTGTGGAAGTCAGGTGTGTCTTTTCAGAAACACATACCACCTTTTTCATGCATATTGCGAGGTTCTTCCTGGTCCAGCTCCGGCTGCCTGCTCTTTCATACAAAGGACTCCTTCACGGAAGAGGAGAATGAAATGAATCTGCAGCCTAGCGCCCTGCGTTCTGAGCTTCACGATTTTGTCTTAAAATACACATGCAGCCTGCAAAAGGACTCCTTCACGGAAGGGGAGAATGAAATGAATCTGCAGCCTAGCGTCCTGCGTTCTGAGCTTCACAATTTTGTCTTAAAATACACATGCAGCCTGCTGTCATTTTGCGTGCAATCTTGCATTGGAGTCAGTGTTCCTGTTCTTTTGAATAGTATATTCTATACTTCCTAAGCAAAGCACCATCTCTGACAATGCGAAAGGTTTTTGCCAAGTAATGCAGCTGTGAGTGGAATGTGGGCTGAGCTTCCAAGGCCTATTTGGTTATTGCCTATTTATTACTTTAATAGTGGTGAGCAAGGCAGTGCCCCCCTTTCCACCCACACATTCTTGTCTATGCCATCCTTGTGAATTTTTCAAACCTTTATTTATTAAAATGCTTTCGGATAAACTAGACCATAAATGAACAGCAGTTATGGAGGGTGTGTGTGAGTGAATTACATATGACCACAATACTGGGGGCCCCTCCCTTTTTAAAAATGCAGCTTGATGAAGAGTTTTGGAGAACTTGAAAGCTCACACTCACACACACACACAAAATTTTCTGCTAATTTGGTTGGTCCCAGTTAAAGGTATTGAATGATTGTGTATCGATGTTTGTGGTATGAATGGTGTTTGAAGCTTGAATATGAGGCTCGAGGTTATCTGAGCCCAGTACTCTGGAAGTATTTCATAGGTTTCAAAGCAGATGGGCCTTGAATTGTTGGGAACAAAAGTGCTTGTGAGCTTTGTTTTAATAACCTTCACTCACTAGCCAGTGGCATGCTATCAGTTCTTACAGGCCACCCAGCCAGCCATCTGCTGGCCTGCCCCAGATAGGAGCTGTATTACTGATGGCCTTCTGAGTTTTATTCACATAGTGTCTCTCTCTCCCTCCTCCCCTTAGGTGAATACACTATAATGACAGCACACTTTCAGCTGAAAAGAAAGATTGGCTATTTTGTCATCCAGACTTACCTTCCATGCATTATGACCGTGATCTTATCCCAAGTATCATTTTGGTTAAACAGAGAATCTGTCCCTGCAAGAACAGTCTTTGGTAAGTATTTCATTGCCAGGCTTTTTCTGAAGAGTACCCAGTGTTCTCAGAGTCACCAGTCACTGATCATGCTCACACTGGGGAGGGAGAGATGGAAGGACGGGATGAGGTGTTTAATCTTTCCCAAGACCACTGAGTCTCCTCTGCACATGCTCCTCAGGAAATTTTTGTTTCCCCCCCCCCAGCCAGAAAGGCTGTCGGGGGGGAGCTGCTGGGGGGGATTTACAGAAGAGAATCAACAGGGATGGGAAGGGTTAAGCGAGTATCCAGTTTGCACACTGACCCTCCACCATAAGTGATCCCCAACTACACATTCTTGTTATTTTGGCAAACATGGGCTTGAGTATATACAGAGTCAAAGTATTGCTCTTGTGTAACATTAAAAATTGTCATTACTATTGCCATTGACCTCATCTTTCACGAATATAACCCTGAAGACTATTTTCCACTGTAGATTATTCTATGGTTATGATTCTGTCTTCGTGGCAGTGGAAAGTGCCACCAAGTAGCAGCTGATTTATGGCACCCCTGTAGGGTTTTCAAGGCAAGTGACCTTCAGAGGTGGTTTGCTATTGCCTGCCTCTGGCCCCGGTCACACGAGAGGTTTTGGGCCGGTAGAGGGACGGAACGGGGATGCAGCAAACGTGCACGATCCCACAGCAACATCTGGGAATCGTGCTGCTTGCGTCCCCGATCCGCCCCTTCCACCCAAAACCCCGCACCAAAACAGAACCACCTACCTTGGTGGTTCGTCCGAGAAGTGCGCCCCAAGCCCGGCTGTGGGATCGCCGGCGCGTCCTTGCGCCGGCGCATCCCTGGCCGAACTGCACATGTGTGAGCATGCGCAGTTCGCCAACCTCCCCTTCCCACCGTAGCTTTCTCCCCGGAATCTGATCATGCCGGGGAGAAAAGGCGCCGCGGCTCACGCCGCGGCGTCTCAACTTTGGTGCGGCTTTTAGAAGCTGCGCTTTGAGCGAGTTTTCCCCTGCCATGTGGCAGGGGCCTCTGTGTAGCAACCCTGGACTTCCTTGGTGGTCTCCCACCCAAGTCTTCCCACCCTGATTAGCTTCTGAGGTCTGATGAGATCAGGCTAGCCTGGGCCATCCAGGTCAAGGCAATATCTTCGTAGTCTTCAAAAATCTTCACTTATTGTTCCCTTATTTTGAGGCAGTATTTTTAACAGTCGGGACTATGTTCCCCCATTCCAACTTCCATTCCTGTGCTTTAGTAGCACACATATTTTAATTTGATATCACATTTGGGAAGCTCTCCATGTGTTGTGTCTAAGGCTTTTGAAAGAATCAATTCAGTGCTTCCTTCATAGCAAGTGCTTCCTTAAAAGTCTTTCAGACTCTCTCATTTTTTGGGGGGGGCAAGCTAAGCGTTGCTTGTTTTCTTTTTCCTTTCTCCTTTCTGAAGGTGTCACTACTGTCCTCACAATGACTACTTTGAGTATCAGCGCTCGCAACTCTCTACCAAAAGTGGCCTACGCTACGGCAATGGACTGGTTTATAGCTGTGTGCTACGCCTTTGTGTTTTCTGCACTGATTGAATTTGCCACAGTCAACTATTTCACAAAGAGAAGCTGGGCCTGGGATGGCAAGAAAGCTCAGGAAGCTGCAAAAATGAAGGTGAAAGAGAGAATACTTAACCTTATTTGGGAGGAAGGGGGCATGCTGTTGAAAACCTCATGAAAGCATTAGTCTCTGGGTTTCAGCCAATGAGCACAAAGTACTCAACAGTTCTCCTGTGGGAGCCCCCTTGGTGGGAAACTGCTGCTGTTATACTCTGCCTATACTCTGGACTGCCCCCTACTGTTTAATGCTTTGACAGAATTAATTCGATGCCTTTACATTCAGTGACTAAGCTCATTGATTTCATTGGCACAGTGAACATATCAGAAGTTACTTAGAAGCCTTAAGATCAAGGCTTACCTAAGTTTAACGGACTATTTTTGATTTAACCACAAATGGCCCGGGGGTGGGGAGGTGGGAGTGAAAAGAAAAGGGGGAGAAACTTTGGTCCCAAGAAGGAAATCAGTTATTACCCAGTTAAAATCATATAGAAAGGGGGGTGGGGTATGAACTGGGACCCTGAGGACACATGGCTTATTTTTCCAGTATTGAGATATTAGTATTTTGCAGCTTTCCTAAAAGAAGGAACATCACAAGAAGCATTTTCAAATCTATCACTACACATTGGAGGTGAGATTTTGATTGGTCAGGATATAAAGTAATTTACATGCTAATCTGAGTCCCAGTCCTCCTCCACTCTTCTTTAGTTCACTGACATTAATTTTTTTAAAAAATATTATTAACCACACATCATAAATATGGCTAACTGTTCTAGAGATGTTCAAACTAGAAAACAGAGGTGTTTAAATATAACAGGGAATGCTGGATGATTCTTTATATACTACTGTGAATGTATTATATGTTTTTTATACAGAGGAGCAAGACCGGTACTTGTTTTCCAGGAGTTAACTGCCTAAATGTTAACAATTGGGGGAATAATAAATAATAATTATCATATGGCGGTGTATGTGTGTAGTATAGCCAGGAGATCCTAAGATTGTCTGGCAGCCAGAAGCTCTAGCTCTTTTAGCATTATACACCACTAGGTGGTGAGCTAGACTTGTTTTTAAGGCAAGAGAGGTTTCAGAGGTGGTTTGCCATTGCCTGCCTCTGTGTCATGACCCTGATATTCCTTGGTGGTCTCCCATCCAAATACTAGCCTGGGACAACCCTGCTTAGCTTCCAAGATCTAAGAAGATCAGGGTAGCCTGGGCTATCCAGGTCAGGGCAACAATTGGGGGAAGAATGATGACATGGAAGGAGGAGGGGGAAGCAGGAGGCTATGCAGTGGCCAACACAATAAAGAAGTTAGCTGGGGATAAGCACTGAGAGCCAACCTATATGAAACAGTAGAAGATCCAGGAGAGGTTCTCCCAAGTGACTTTATTGCTAAATACCAGCTACAAGAAGTAGAATTGCCAGTTCTAAGTTGGGAAATTCCTGCCGATTTGGAGGCGGAGCTTGAGGAGGACAGAGTTTGGGGAAGAGGGGAACTCAGCAGGGATGTGATGCCATAGAGTCCACCCTGTGAAGCTGCCCTTTTCTCCAGGGGAAGCCGGCATGGGGGGAAATGCTTAAACCACCTAATGGAATCTGAGGGCTGCTGCTTGAATTATGGGTCTCCTAGCCTCTTACTTTGTTTGTCTTCAAACCTGTAATTCTCTGGGCATGTTTTTGGGAGCAAGACCCATTGAGTCTGGTGGGTCTGAGTAAATATCCATATAATTGGGCTGCTGAGCAGTAAACCGAAGGTATTTTGAAGATAGGGCTTGAAGAAAGTGAGAAAGCTAGCATCTGATAGGAGGCGTGGGAGCGAGGTATATGAGGGAGAGAAGCAGAAATGCAACGCAACACATGTCACCCCCGTGAAAATTGTGTCCACACACTCAGGCCACCCTCAATGCATCTTTTTAATGGTTGCACAACAGCCCGTAGGTTAGCCCCATGAAAAATTTAAACGCCAGTCAATGATGGATCAGTATTGTGTTGCAACGTAACATGGGGGGGGGAACCCTCATGCCAGGACGGGAAAGGGAGGGGGAGGCAGGAAGGGAGGGGGAGGGGCAGAGAAGCAGAGGGGCGTTGAAGGTGTGGAGAGAGGCGGGAAGGGGAGGGAAAGAAGCAGAGGGGCATTAAAGGGGTGGAGAGAGGACAGCCGTGATTCGTGAGTTCCCCACTACAATGCCCCGACTTCAACCCCGTAGCAAGAAAAAGATCCTGAAGTTGACAGAGAGGAAAAATCTGGGGGGAAAGACCCTTAGATTTGGGTCAGTTGCCGACCCCGCAGCAATAAGTGGGGAAATGATACACTGCCGCAAATGTTATCGGGGAATGACACCAGAGCAAGCATTAGTGTGGAATCAGCCTAAAATAGCCCTTCTCACCCCACCCATGTCAGTCCTTTATTTCATAATGAAGCTCCTATGGCTGCACTGTCCCCCCCCCAAATCATTGGATAAAATGATCACAAAACTACATGTAACGTATACTTCTGACCCATGTTTTGCATAACTCCTACCTTTTCCACTTCTCAAACACAGTTTTACCATGTTTTGCTTCTCCACTGTTTTGCAGAAAAAAGAACGTGAATTATTGGCAAACAAAGCCATTAATGCATATGCCTCTGGAAGAATGACCCCCACATTAAACATACCAAAGGACTCCAGCCCTTCCGTTATCTCCAATTCAGCTTCTGTTCCAGTAAAACCTGTCGAGAAACCGGCTGAAAACAAAAAGACCTATAACAGCATCAGTAAGATTGACAAGATGTCCCGAATAGTGTTCCCTGTCTTGTTTGGGACTTTTAACTTAGTCTATTGGGCCACATATCTGAACAGGGAACCTGTTATTAAAGGTGCTGCGTCTTCAAAATAAATGGAAGGACTTCCTCACCAAGCGTTAGCCATACTTGCAAAAACAAATGCTACCAAGGAGAATTTGAGGTTCCGAGACTTTTTTTCAACTTTTGGGCAATATTCTTCAGGAAGTTTTTGCATGTGTAACGATATGTACAAATATTATTGCCTTGATTGTTTCTACATGTAACCTCAGATGTTTCTGGCAACTCAGTCAAGAGCAGCAGACACAAACCTTTGTAGGAAAACGGAAGACGTGGAACTTCTACGCTGCTGAGTATCTTGCATTGATAGTTTACAATGAAATAGGGTATATTTTTTAACTGTTTGGGCATATTGCATATCTGCAGTTTTTTATACTTTGAATGTACAGTCATGCAAATACGTGGGAACTGACTCTGCAGCTGCAGAAACGTTTGTGTAAGTTATTTCAGAGTCCGTCGACACTGGGCTATTCTGGCCAGGATCCAGAACATTGCAGGCCCAGGACTTGGTTGCGTGCATGCAAATGGATGCGCAACACCTTTCAAACGTGAGTGCTCAGTTTTTGGGTTTGGTCTTCATGGCAGTCCACACACGTACACAAATCCCTTGAGAAGCTGGATGTGCAAAACAGCCATCACGGATCAGACACCACAGGCACAGTTCTCACTTCACTGCACATCATCTTGTAACACCTTACTTTTCAGAGAAGGCAGTTTGCTAAGAATCACTGAGAGTCAGTAGCATGTCTGGCCAAGGACAACCCTCATCTCTCCGCCTCCCCCATTGTGGTTGCCAGGCGCACACCAACATCTTCAAACATTTTTTCCCCCTTGCACTTGAACCAAAAAGGTTTCCAATCCCTTTGCTGTAGGGTTTTCTGAACTCTTGCAAAACTATCTCCCCTCAAAAGAGTTCAGCCACCAATTCTGGTTGCCCTGGCAAAAGGCAACCAGAAATGCTGCTGAGCTCTCATGAGAAGAAGAAATCTTGTGTGAGGTTGGGAACCAGTATGTGCAGCCTGCTGTGCTGCTTTTAAAGAGAGCAAGGAAGTAAGATTATCTCCTCCAGGTCCTGGGGGAAGGCAGCAGAGATGCTGGCAGGTGGAAGGTTGCCAGACCCCAACATCTGTTGCTTGAGGCAATCACCTCAGGACACTTCACTACAGAGCCAGGCTGCAGATAACGCACCTGGAGACTGGCATCTCTGTGGCAAGTTTTCCATTCCTCATTCATAATATTTAGCAGTATTTGGTGTTTAAAATCACTATATGATGCCCGTCATTCACACTGCTGGTACTGCTAAATGTAATGCGTGGAAGTGGAAAAATGCTGAAGGCGTGCCTGCCCGTCTCTGTGGCGACCATCACATTTAGCCCAATATCATGACAAGATAGTGAGCAATGTTATCATGCATGTTTGAATTGACCTTTGTTTCCCGCCATGCAGTGTACTTGTGCAGGCTGTAGTGATCCATACGTAGTAGCCTGTTTCCATGCACAGATCATATTATTTGCATTTGCATTTTGTACTATACATGAGGAAGACCCAAGCCACATGACAAACCCAGGAGGTGGCTGCCTTGGAAGGTTCAGGCAGCTTCAGTAACTGGGACCAGCAGGCAGTGGTGGCCTTAATGCACTGGTGCACCTGAAGTGCAAGGTAAAAATGACTCCCCCCCAGGGCCAGCTCACCCACTAGGCGAACTAGGCATTCGCCTAGAGCGCCGGGCCCTGGATGGGGCACCAAGCTGTGCCTCCCCCCTCCTCCCCCCCCCTTTGGTGGTGGTGGCGGCGGGGGTAGGAGGCGGTGGTGGCAGCAGCAAAAGGGTGGCTGGCTCCAGAGGTCTCCAGGTTTCCAGGCCCCACCGGGAGGTTGGCATCTGCGCCATAAGGCAACCTCGCCTAGGGCGCAGAAACACCTCGAGCCGGCCCTGCTCCCCCCCACACACACCTCACTTCACCAAAGGCAAGAAAATGGCACCACCAACAGAAGACAACATCTCATTGCTTCCAGTCTTGGCTGTATGAGCTTTGTGTTGTTATCGCAGTTACCCTTATGCTTTGTGTTTCTTCCCTCTGGCCTAATTACAAGGTTGACGTTCTTTGCTCTGGCAGGGTCTCCTCTCCACAGAAGTGCCATAGCTTCCTCCTCGAGGCCACCCTAGTCTTTAACAAGAAATTCCTACAAGATTGAATTATCCTTCTTAATAGGGGGTGGGGAATCAGTCGTAACTCATCATTTAGTTAGCTAGTCTGTTGATTTCATTTGACTTTTGATCACAGCACCGTTGGAGGACGACAGCATGCATTTTGTTATAACTTACTTGATTATTTATAAATCACTTTCCTTCCCCTCCCGCTCACAAATGTTTAATATTTTATATTATTTATTTAATATTACTGTTTTAAAAAATCAGCACAAGACCACCAACCAATTAAAAAAAAGCAATAAAATGCAATTAGCACTCAATGGTATGAGAATACATCAGCATGAAGCACAACAGGAGCTTTAACTATAACCAGCAACCCAATGATACGCAAGGCCAGTTGTACTCCTACCTGTCAGGAAAAGGAAAGTTTTACAATGTTCCTACAGGATGCGGCTATTGAAAACTATATGTGAAATCTGTCACCCGTGCACTCAGGTAATCACAACACGATTTTTATAAAAGTCATGCCCCCCTTCCCTGTTTTCCAGAAGTTAGTGTCCCTGCCAGAGGAACAGCTGAGCTTTGCTATTGTGAGGTCCCTGCATCTAGGAAGGCCTAAATGCTAAGCTAAAGTGTTCCATCCTTGCCACCTGATAAAGTACTGTGATATTGTGAACACCATCTTTATTCACACTGCATGTAACTCAAGAGGAACCACTTTACACAAACTCCATCTAGACCAGTGGAAGATGCACAATAGTTGTGCTCTTGTGTGTTTCATATTCCGTCTTAGTGGAGCTGATGGTGGAGAAAGTTCCTGGCAGATGAAAAATCTCTAATTGCACAAACAATGCCATTGGCCCAGATTCTCAACCACTGTAATATTCATGGAGCCATTTTAATATGCACTTGCTGAGAACCTGGTTCACTGATTACTTGAATAATAAGGCCACTGCATAACGTACTCATTAGGAATGGCAGGATTTTTGCCTTTCAGGGAAATTTTTTTGTCGTTCAAAATTCAAGCTAATTTTTTTCCAGATAATGCTCATTTTTCAAAAATTGAGACATGTACTGCATGGTTACCTTTTAACAGTAGAATAGAACCAAATATGCCAGATAAAACAACAGTGACTATTCATTTTCATTAAAGGCAACGTGAGCAGATTTCTTCTCAAGAGGAAGAGTTGCCTATTAAATTACCAGCTTGCGTTCCAAGTAAATAAAAAGACACAGCTCGAACAGAGAGAGAAATTCTGCTTCATCAAAGCCAACTGTTTCCAGTGACTATATCAGTGTTTTGTTTATCACCATTCCTTTTTGGAAACTTTCATTATTGCCAACAGGATGTTTTGTTTTGTTTCAGTGGTAAATGACTTCAAAGTCAATCCTGTGCATACTTATTTGAGAGTAAGCCCCCCTGTGGAGAATTAAGTGGGACTTAGTAAAAGTAAAGGTAAAGGTTTCCCTTGCTCGAAAGCTAGTTGAATCCGACTCTAGGAGGCAGTGCTCAACTCCGTTTCCAAGCTAAAGAGCCAGCGCTGTCCGAAGACTTTCCGTGGTCATGTGGCCGGCATGACTAAATGCCAAGGCGCACGGAATGCTGTTACCATCCCACTGAAGTGGTACCTATTTATCTACTTGCGATTTCTTGCTTTCGAACTGCTAGGTTGGCAGGAGCTGGCCTCTTCCACATCTAAAATGGCCCGAAATGGGAGCTTACTATCACGCGGCACTAGGGTCTCAAACTGCCAAGCTACAAACCTTCCGGTCTGCAGCTTCAGTGTCTTAACCTCCGAGCCACTGTGGCCCCTGCAAGCAGGATTACTCAGAAGTAAATATGCACTGGATTAGGTACCTGTTATTTTCAATAACTCCTTGCCTCCCCCCAAAATTATTTCATGCTCATAGCTTCAGTAGCTTTTGTAATTTTATCTTAATGTTTAAAATAAAGAATACATTTGATAGTCATTTGCAAGTTGTCTTTCTCGAGCTCCTTGTATTAAGAGGGAAACAATTTTTGTGACGCTTCAAGATTGTGATTGTTGGCAATAGAAACTGTGCATGGGGGGGGTGACCTTTTGATTGAATTTAACCTGCTGTGGTGACTGCTGCTCTTTATGGCTGTACTAGGAGAAAGCCCCGTTGCGGAAATGAATGCAACCGGGTCTAGAAAGAGGGCCTGGGTGAGTGCGGGGTCCTGGTGATGCGCCTTGTTGGGCGGGCAGGAGAAGCAAGGGGGAGGCCTTGAAAGCCCCCCCCCCCCGCCTCGCCTGCCCCGGCAAGGGGCGGGAGGGGGCTCTGGGAGCCTTCTCCTGCTCATCTCCACAGAAGGAGGTCCTGCGGACTACCTGGGGCAGGCCACGCAGCCCAGGGGAGCATGGCGCGGCCTTCTCCCCTGTCCCCGAGACCAGTCAGTCCCCCTGGGAAGCATCCATCCCTGCCGGCGGCTCCTCGCAGACTGTGGGCGAGAGGCTGGCCAGTGGGTCTGTGGGCGGGACCAAGGCACTGACAGGCCAATGGCTGAGGGAGCGCATTTTATGTGGCCACCCCAAATCGCTTTTATTAATAAGGAAAGATACTTGCAGCCTGTTCCTGTTGGTGACACTCAGTATGCCAGTAAGCATGCCCACCTGTTGTACAAGCACAGCTCTCTGCTGGACCACAGAGGAAAGGGTGGCAGAGTGTGCAGTGCAAGCATACAGTTGCCAGCTCTGGGTTGGAAAATACCTGGAAATTGGGGGGAGGGCAGGGTTTGGAAAGGCAATGGACTTCACTGAGGTATAGTACCATATAGGTATAGTTTTCCTTACCGTTCCATCATGTTCTTAGTACCACTCTAGTGTGGGGTGTGGCTCAGTGGAAGATGATCTGTTCTGACCACAG